CATATGTGCTCTCTCCCCTTTCTAGCTTTCTATCTGTTATGTGGTTATTTCTGAGCTATGCTGTTTTCTTCTAGGCCAAGAGCAAAAAGAGAGGGAAGTGGAACTCCACTCTCCCACACAGATGGACATAAGTAAAAACCTCAGCTTCATGGCAAAGTTCACGGAATTGCAGGTGAGTGTCTTCTTACTCCCTTCATCTTTCCTTCCGCTGCAGAGCAGGAACCTGAGCATTTCTGCAACCTCTGAGCCTAGGCTTCATTGGTTATTCCTTGCTGATAGAGTAGTTTGGCTTCCTCACTGAAAAAAAACCCCCGTATTTCTGAATGCACTTAGAAGGGCATTAGGGAACTGCGCAACTATGCTATTCAGTAATGAATACCCAAGTGATTCTGTAAAGCAAGAGAGGGGAGGAAGATCAGTTGGGCACCCAGAAGCTGTCTGAAACTGAACTGTAACATGTTGTATATGCAATCAGTGGTGTTGAAGCCCCTCACTAACATTGCAGAAATTCACTAAGGGAAGTGCATTATATAACAAAATAAACCCATTGTATTGATCAGTATCCAGTATGAGGTATGCAAAAATCTTTCTCCACTCCCAGGTTAAGAACTTGCCGCCTTACATCTGGCATCTGGAGCTGTTCACCCACGCCTGCTATCCCACTCGTTGTTCCAATTCTGAAAGCCTTCTGTTTACTTTTTTCTCCTAGTGGAAAATACTCACATTAAAAAATGAAGACACAGAACATAAGTACAGCTCCTCTGCTCTTGACTGGATCACGATGGACACAAATATTGCCTACTGGCTCCACCCGACCTCTGGTGTAAGTATGAGAGGTAGAAGTAAACGTGAACCTGGTGAAGAAAGCAGACGTCAGTTCAGATGTGAGCTCCATGAGCGTGAGTGAGAGCAGGGCTGCAGTTCCAGCCAAGAGGCTGCTCCAGGATGGACTCATCCTGTATTAAGAATATATTTTCCCTGAGGGCTGGGGTTTTTTTGGCATGTGATACAGCTTTGACACTAGTTGCTTTTAATTAAATCATGGCTTCTTGCACGTTTTTTTTTTTTTTTTTTTGCAAAGGAAACTGCAGTTTAATAGTTTCCATTATTGATTCCATTTAGAAGATGGGTTCATCTCCAGTAGCATCTTTTAAATGCTCACATTACGAAAGAGTCTTAAAGCAGCAAAGTTTATCAACTAGCTTTGTTCCAGGAAAGATCAGGTTACTAGCCAGGCAAATTCTGACGTTTAATTTAGCAAGTATGTGTAGGTAAATATTTAAACTTACCTAAAAGAACTGCAGCATGTTCCGGCTTCTGGCTTAGCCAGCTTACCATCTTCTATCCTTCAGGCCCAGATCCACCTCCTTGGGAATGTTGCCACCTGGACTTCAGCTAACGTTGCTGCTCTGGTCTACATGTGTCTGTCCCTGTGGTACTTGATTCGACGAAGGAGAAATCATGGCTTGCCCGTTTTTTTTTTTTTTTTTTTTGCAAAGGAAAACTGCAGTTTAATAGTTTCCATTATTGATTCCATTTAGAAGATGGGTTCATCTCCAGTAGCATCTTTTAAATGCTCACATTACGAAAGAGTCTTAAAGCAGCAAAGTTTATCAACTAGCTTTGTTCCAGGAAAGATCAGGTTACTAGCCAGGCAAATTCTGACGTTTAATTTAGCAAGTATGTGTAGGTAAATATTTAAACTTACCTAAAAGAACTGCAGCATGTTCCGGCTTCTGGCTTAGCCAGCTTACCATCTTCTATCCTTCAGGCCCAGATCCACCTCCTTGGGAATGTTGCCACCTGGACTTCAGCTAACGTTGCTGCTCTGGTCTACATGTGTCTGTCCCTGTGGTACTTGATTCGACGAAGGAGGAAGATTTACGACATTCCTGAAGGTCTGATTCGTGCACGTGTGTGTGTGTCTCTGTGTGTCCATCCAAAGCTACGTTTTGTTTGGGGTTTTTTTTTTTTTGCAACTATGTGCTAGCACTTTTTTTCCTGCCCCCTAACCCTGAAATTTTTATTTGGGATGCACAAACATCTAGAGTAGCCCATGAAGAGACTGATTATGGTCATCACAATGTGACCATCACCTCATGAGACAATATAGTAGCCAGCATAATATTTATTTGAATCATTCCCTGGATGTAAGAAATCTCCAGGCATTAGATTTGGATTCTACTGAGCCCTTTTGTGATGATTTAAAAGAGGTAGGTACTGGCTGTGTGGGGAGGGGTTTATTTTAGATGTGTTCGTTCCAACAGGGTCACCATCTCTTCCGTGTGGCCGGGCAGTTTTACGCTGACCTTTCTGGCGGTACATTTTGTTGCCATCCTGTGAAGCTGCTGCTTGTCGGCTGTAATTTGTCTTGATGGGTACTTCATAAAAGCGTGACAAAATTTAACCATTTCCCTCGGTTGAGTGTGGTCCAGTTAAAGGTCGTATTAGCACAAACTGTAGAGAGCGGAGAAAAAAATACCAAACCACGCAAGTAGGCAACCTCTTATTAGAGACTTTAGGTGTCCAGGGACTGTGCTTTGAGCTATCTGTCTCCTGTCTCTTGCAGATGCATGGCAGCTGTGGGTATCAGCCGGGGGGATCTGTGTTGGAGGCTGGGCTGTGAATTACCTGCCTTTCTTCCTGATGGAGAAAACACTTTTCCTGTACCACTACCTGCCTGCCCTCACATTCCAGATTCTCCTGGTTCCCATCGTATTACAGCATCTCAGTGATCATCTCTGCAGGTATTTGGTTTTTAACAGCTAGATAGACGGGAGACGTGACGTTCTTTTCTCCAGCCAGGGTTGATACCTTGGCAAGCTGCTGCAGGGAAAGCAGTGATTTTTTTCAGCAGTGGCCATACTTCGGCATTTGCCTTTAGAGAAGATAGGCCCTATCTAGGTCTTCCTTTTGGATGAAGCGTTTGGCCAGCCTTGATGTAACTTGACCACTCTTTCCCTCTCTTACCCCAGATCTCTGCTTCTCAAGAGCATGTTCAGTGCACTGATCATAGCCTGGTTCTCTTCGGTTTACCTTGTCTACTGCACATTCAGCCCTGTGACCTACGGGGAGCCCTCGCTCTCTGTTACTGAACTCAAGGACTTGCGCTGGAAGGACAGCTGGAACATCCTTATCCGAAAACAGTAACAATTACAGTCTTGTGACAGGCAAAAGGAAACACCTTTTATGCAAAGCCAAGAATTTATTCTTAGTATAATTGAAATCTTAACAGTCTGATCAAGTAATTGATCAAGAAAATAAAAGAATACTGTTACAAAAAAAGGTCTCAGCATATAGCCCTTACGAGCACAATTCCCAATCTCTTCCCCTGTTACATTCACCCTTCCACTGCCCCTCGGGGCCTGAAGGTTGCCGACTTCCGTCGACAGCATCCCTGGTCCTTTGCTGGGAAGAATGTGCTGCAAGGGTTTCTTCTTCCTCTTTCCTGGGAGTATGATGTTGATGGTTTCTTCCCTCTTGCACTATGTTGCACTTAGGGCTGTTTTATATGTTCCCTAGCACCTTGGTCTGCAATTTCATGTTACTTGCAACATGGATACTCTCAACATATTGGATACTTTTCTGTTTTCTTTGTTACTCCTAAAAAATGAGTTTTCCCAGCTCCAAAGTTTACACATCTTTAACTATCTTCAGCATCATCCCATGACTATATTCCTCAACAATGCATTATTATTTGCCCCCACTTTCAATGTTCTGCTATCATCATCCTTATTTCATTACATTACAGCATTAAGCTAAGTTTATAAATAGTTCATTCTGCATAGAATGACTTGTTACTATTATCTATTTATAATCATTTGGCATAACCATAATTTTTATGAAGCTAAGCAAAAATAAAACAAATAAACATTAAAAAATTGCTGTTACAGCTAAACAAGCTAAAAGAAAGCTTCAGGCAGGCCAAGAAGTCAGCCAAAGCCAGAAGAATCCTTCGGCCTCGCGCTGTTCGCAGGAAGCCTGTGGCCTGCTCCTGGCAACGGCAGTGGTGTTGTACTTACTGGGCTGCAGGCTTACACCTCAGCTCTCGCAGGAGGAGGAACTCTGGGCAAGGTAGAACTGATCAGGCTGACAGAGAAACCTGCTCTAACTTGTACACATGGGTTCAGGGTAAAAACACCGTGGGTAACTCAGCCCATGCCCTGGCCTGCGCCAGCGGAGGAATTCAGAGTAGGAGACGGTGCGAGTGAAGGGCTGGGATGGCTCAGTGGGGAATTTGTAACAGCTCTGTACAGGTATTCCACAGGGGTTGTAGTACCTACACCACGTTTGATTCCCCCCCCCATGTGGCTGCAGCAGCAGGGTCTTGCAACACAGCTCAACGCTGACCAAGAACAGCAGTCCTAGACAGACCAGGGTGCTTTTTGCCGTAGAGTTCCTTACTGCTATAACAAATGCTATTCAAGGCTGCTTTGAGCTCCCCACCCCCCCAGAGGAAGGTATGATCAAACACCACAGTCATTCAAAGTAGGTTTTAGTGACTATTTTGCTCCTACTTACCACTGAACTGCAGTGATCACTAACAGATAACAAACCTTTACCGATTTCCAGTGTTGAAAAGACTATAGGGATGAAAGTGCAGACTGCATTTTTTAAGGTTGGTTTTTTTTTTTATCTAAAGCTTCAGCCATTATGGAACTAAAGCTAACAATTCTGAGTTAAGGGGAGAAAGCGCATCTCCAGAAAGTGTTCCCTTCTGTACCTCTGTGCTGGTGTAGTGCAAGTAGCATAAATACCTTTCATATAAAATGGTCATTTCTGCTCACTGTTTGTTCATTTGTTTATTAGCGAAAGTTACACACCCACAGCCAAACACAGCCAGACCCTGGTTTTAGAAAACTAGCAAATATGAAGAAGTTCCTCTTAATATTCTCCCCCCGGCCCCATTCTTAAAATTACACCCTAAGTCCAGATTCCAGAAGGATACCACGAGGACATTTTCAAAGGCCCAACCAGCACTTCATTTCAGATTATTCCCCCCCCCCCCAGAAACTTCACGTTGCTGCAGTATCACTGATCGGGGGTAAGCTACAGGAACTGGGCTGTCACTGTTTATACTTCCAGCCTCTTGTCTGCTCTTTTGAAAAAAAACAGACATATCTGGAGTTTAAACCGCCTGAGTGCAAGGCAAGCGCTTTGACCCTGTTTGAGGGTGGAAGCATGTCCAGAGAGCTGCTTGTGCCATCAGAAGGAGGGTCTTGCGATTCACAGCTTTCCCCCTTGCTGACCTTACCACCCAGCTCTGGAAGTGGATGCATTCCGCCCAGCAGAATCTGCAACCAGCAGTACAGAAACACCCTACAAGACACTAATACTGACAAGGTCAGGGTTCCGTTTCCACGAGCAACTCAATCCAGTCGGAGCTCACACATTCAGTAACTGTGGTAAAGGAGACCATCTGGGTACAAAAAAATCATCATACAGCGTAGCAAGGTTCGGGAGCTTAAAAAGGAATCAATTAGGAACCGGAACCACACAGCTTCTTGGGCCTGTCCCCCGTGAACTGTAAGTTCCCACTTGCCCCAGAGACAGTCTCTGTTTCATCTCTATCTCAGGGGAGAGATTCCTCTACAGGTCAATCCTTCTGCCCCCACATGCTACTACAGGCTAAAAAGGAGCGCGATGCCAGAACTCAAGGTCCCAACAAGGTAGAGAAGAGTAAGGACTGCACCTGCTTGTTAAAATTAACAGGGTGTGCGCTAGTCTTGCATAAAGAGACTGTTTTTTCTTTTGAAAAAACAGGCCGCTAATTTTCCTGAAGGAAGATCATAATCGGGGAAATGGGGTATCTTGCTAATCACCCGGTAGCACTTAATTTTCAGGGGAGACTTCGGCATTAGATCGCATTTTGAAAATTAAAAAAAGGCAAGAAGCACTGCCTTTAACCAGTTCATCAAGTAACATCATAACTCCAGACACCGTAGGGAGAAAAGGGAGGGGGGTTTGGCGGGGAGAGGGGCTGTAGGCCAACTCCTTCCTCTCCCCTGCGCCAGAAGTTTTGCACCAGTATCCCCTCCGCTGCTAGGATGATTTAAAGGGCACTTCACCAACCATTCTGTTGAAGTCCTTTCCCAAAGTTGTCTTCGGTGCTGGCCTGGACCAGAGGCAAATCCTTCAGACGCTGACAGGTTAGTGCGGACGGCTACTGGACTCCAGGTGGGAGCGTTTGCCGGCCGCTAGCACACTGCTGCTCTCTGTTTGTTCAGGGAATGGGCGCTTGTAGGTCCGACCGTGTCCGTTCATTGCCCCTCGCTGCCACTTGCAGATGTCTCCGTTGAGGATGTCTTGAATGTGCTGCACTATGAGGTTTATAGCAACTGCAGAGAGGAACGGGAAATACAGGACACGTAGGCTTTCTTGGCCGAGCTATCTAGAAAACGTGGAGCATCCAGCCCTGTTCAGCTCAAGTTTTAACAACAAGCCCTTAAATGAAACTATGCCTGCCCTCTGCAGTGAGGTCAGACCCCAACAGAAACCAGCAATCGCAGCACCGGCTTTAACACTGGCGTCCTGCTCCGCATCTCCAATCGCATGTCACTTTTTTGCAGCCCTCCACAGGCTGAGCAGCTGGTCATCCCGGTCAGGCTCTGAGCAGCCCCCTCCCCTACAGCCCTCCAGCAAAACCCCTTTCCTTAGAAGCATGCAAACAAGGCGGTGGTGTGCCACCTGGCCTCTTCCCAACCCCAAAGGTGGTCTCCCCAGAGAAACTGGACAGAGAACCAAACTCCCTTTTACCCATGTTGTCAACTCCTCGGGGGATGATCACATCTGCATACTTCTTCGTCTGCAAAACAGAAACGGTGGTGGGGACTGTTAGTGGGAAAAAAGCCAGCTGCATTCTAGGAAAAAGCTACCAAATGCCAGAAAGCTGAGGGCAAAGATGGAGGGGTTTCTGTGCTCTGGGGCTGTACGTTAAAGCTCTCACTCACGGTAACACCTACATGAATTGAGAAGTCACACTGGCTAACGTGCACTGGATTTAAGGTCAGGGATTGTTCTTGCTGTCCCTTTGCAGTGAATCACCAGGCAGAAGCAGTAGGTCGAGCGTGGAGTGCTTGCTTTTACACTTCTGAAGAGTACGCTGCCTTCAAATGGGTCGCCCGCTTCGAGGCTGAGGTCTGTTTGCTAAGAGCTGGTTCTAATCAGCATTTCACAAGCCATTGCTAAACCTCTGTCAAGAGCCAAGGTACCCAGTGTGCACGTCAAATTCCTTCCTGCCTCTGATGACATTTTATTGATCTTTACCACCACAGAGCTCCTGCTTTCCCGCCCCCCCACACTTATAAAAGGGCTGGCAAATTCAGCATTCCTAATGAGTACTTTTACAATCCCAGAATGGCTTTGATCTAGAGCAGGAGGCGCCTGAGCCAGCCTTTTCCATCTTATTTAATCCACATACAGGGTTTTGTTCTCAAAGGGGTTTGTTTTTTTTTTTTTTTAACATTAATTTGATTACGTGAGCACCTAAATTGGCCCCGCATTATACGGCCGGCCAGGGGTTTGGTTTGTTTTTTTTTAACAAATTAATTTGATTACGTGAGCACCTAAATTGGCCCCGCATTATACGGCGCAGCAAGCAGACCTGGTCTGCCCCAGGTTTTCACCAGTGTTCCCTGTTGAGAGAGAGTCTGTTGGAAACCAAGCTGCTCTTTCTTCCTGCAAGACTTAAGAATAAATGCAGAGTGGGAGTGTTTCAGTCAAAGGGACCGATGCTAAAATAACCATGGCAGCGAGCAGTGAGAAAACGTGTGCAGCCTCTAGGGATTTCCATGGTGCTTTGCAAGCAGAAGGGACCAACCATTTAAAGTTCCTTAAACAAGCAGCTTGTAATGGTTGAATAGACGAGGCAGAGGGGAGAGCGTGGGACCGGTGAGATACAAATATCAAAAGCCACCATCTACAGTGCAGCTAATCCCCAGGCGACCCTGCTCCTTCTCTCCCCCCAAAAACCACAAATCAAGTTAGCGAAACATTTAGTACCGGCAAGCAGAACTCCTCAAAGGCAGGCTTGACGAACGTGGTGTACTGGGTGAGGATCTGCTCAAGGTCCCTCCCACGTTTCATATCTCGCAGAACTGGGGCGGGAAGATAAAACCCAGGAGTTTTACCGCATGGCGGAGGACGGATAGGGAACACGAGCTGGCTGACGCTGCCCACGGCGGCAGAGCATTACCTCTGCGGGACAGCCGGACGTCAGAATCCGTGTCGACAAAGAGCCGGAGATGGAACATGTCCCGAATGTCTTGACTGTAGAAAACCAGGATCCCCTCAAAGAGAACAACGTCAGCGGGATAGACCACTGTCGTCTCTGCCAGCCTGCCAGGAAAAAAACACCCGGAGCACGTGGTTAAATGGGTCTCGCACCACAGTTAAGCAGTCCGTCCCCAGGCCCGGCTGCAGACATCCGCATACACAGCCCAAGACTTCACACAAAACCGAAACCTACCTAGAATGGGTCACGAAGTCGTAGGTTGGTACCTCGACCGTTTTGCCCTCAACAATATTTTTCAGGGTTGTATGCATCAAGTCATTGTCAAAAGCGTCTGCAAGAGGAAGGTTTAAAGAAGAAGTTCAGATGCTGCTATATCCAATGTTCTGCTCAGATTTTCCACACCTGAAGGAAAAACTCTCTGTCCAGTATTGCACCGGGAAAAAAGGAACTTGCGGCTTATTCTTTCCTACCAGCAGCAACCCACCACTCCCTGCCCAAACTAGAACTGCTGCGCTCCGTTACAGAGATAAGGAAGAGAGAATTCGCTGTGTATCAGCAACTACAGTACAACAAAATTAAGAACCCAAATGTGAGGTTGGCAATTGTATAATTTTACCAAACCGCTTAGTAATTGTATAATTGTGCAACTCTCTTAGTGTGTTAGCTAAGAGTAATTTAGAAAACCTCAGACATCTTTAATGCTTTTCATTATCCACCCTGGTGAGCCTACGGCGGGCTCTAGGCTTCAGCCAAGGGCAGACCATTGTCCCGTTTGCAATCCAGGGTCCCCCGAGCACAGAGAGCAGCTGCTTACGCGGACAGGAAATATCAGGGAAGGATTTGGGGAACGATGTAGTTTATTACGGATCCTCTCCACAGCCGAGAAGGAGGAAACGGAGCACCGTGCCAGCCGGGACGCTCTCCAACTCCCCAGCATTGCTCTCTGCAAGGGTGCACTAAACCGGCAGTTACCCCCTGCGGCAGCGCAGCTTTCGCGATAGCAGCGCGCACACGCGAGAGACAAACGGATGTTTTGGCGGGGGAAAGAGCATTTCTGTTACCCAGTACTTCTCGTTTTCTACAAGCCCCTTCAGTAAACCCCAGCTGGCCTCCAACCGCTAACTCCACCGCGTTAAAGACGGGGAAAAAGGCTGCAGGGCTTCAGCCCCCAGCCAGCCTTGCGGCGAGGCGCCTCACCCGGGTGGTCGAAGTTGTACTGCCCCTTCAGCGCCTTGGCCTTCTGGTCGGCGGTCAGCACCTTGTAGAAGCTGTCCTGGCTGAGGATGAGGACCTTCCGCTGGCGGCGGTCCACCTCGTTCTGCCCCAGCAGCTCCATGATCTTCTCGCAGACTGTGGACTGAGCCCGGGGGGAGAGGGGGGTG